TTGTTACCTAGTGGCTACACAAGCCAGGAAGTACCAACGACCGGATTTGGTGTGTGGTAGTAACAGGTAAATGAACTTTTTTTTTTTTCTTTTTTTTTTTATATATATATATATATGAGTGTTTGTGTATAAATACACAAACAATAGACATATGCTTTCAACTATGTAATTTAAGTTATCTAGGTAGCTCTGTTTAGTTTATTGATCCCTAGGGGTATTATATTGGTTACAGTGCTCCAGTACAAACAGTAACAAAAATAGACCATACAAGAAGTAAGAAATAGCACAATATATATATACATATAAGTCACTTACTAATAAATATCTGAATAAGAAAGAAGAGCATTTGCAAAAAGGGTGTAGCTATTGCAGTATATAGTGCGTTAGGTGGATGAGTTGTACAGGGAGATGGCCACAGGCAGGAATGATTTCCTGTGTCATTCAGTGGTGCGTTTTGGTCATCTCAGTCTCTCACTGAACGTGCCTCTGTGGCTAGCCAGCGTGTCATGGAGTGGGTAGGAGGTTTTTGTGCATCGACGATTCCTGGACCCTGTGGATACCTGCCTCATCGCTCCTTCTTGACCCCTGTCCTCCTCGGCTCAATGTGCGCCAAGTGAACCCCGCAATCTGAGGCCTCTTTGTCGGGCTCCCTGTGCATTTTATATTTATATATATTTTTTGTAACTTATTATTTAACTTAGTGTACAGCACTTTGTTTTCAGCTGGGAGTTGTCTGAAAGTGCTATATGAATAAATTGCTTGCTCTCTTGCTTTTGAAAACTGAGCTTTAAAATGAATAGTGGTAATAAAAACGGAGACAGGCCAACAGTGATCACTGACTTTTTAGGGGCTTAAAGATTAAATGGAACAAGATACAAAGCATTAAAACATGTTAAAAACACAACAGCCTTAATAAATGCAGAGTCGTTGGGACCCGGAAGCAGGGTTCATATGTCATCACTTAAAGACCGGATATCCCACCTGCTGTGAATGTTTTAATGCAGTACAGTTGTTATTATTATCACTTGTCACATCCTGTTTATGACAGATAAAAAAAATAACATTCATATAAGAAATAAAATTGTCTGTGTAAACTGATTATGGTGTTAAATAGGCCTATATTACTGTACTTTAATGTCGTTCATAAGGGTGGTACTTTAAGAGCCATATATTTTATGAGGTGGTATTCATTGTGAAAAGTTTGAGAACCACTGCCTTAGAATGCTCTGGTTTCTTCAGCGGTAAAGTAATCCAGTGACAGCTGTCAGTATTGCCACTGTTGCACAGCAAACAACAACTGTTTATAATGAATTCAGCAAACTTTATTTTTCAAATTTTAAACAAATACAGTTTACATTTCTATCGCTGCCACAGTGTAACTTGGTTTACTGCAGTAACCTGAAGTGTCCATCAGAGTGACCAATCAACTGAGTCGATTTGCGAGTGCAGAGAGCAACCCACGAGAGCGTGTAACTGAAGCAGAGTTAGCTACAGGAACTGTAGCTTCTTTGTCTGTTGTTGAATTTACGTGCAAGGAATTTATTTGAAATTGAATTATTTGGTCAGATTATCTTTCTGAGTTGATTTCCTGTCTTCCCACATTCTGCCTGCAACACAGCTGATCCTTCAAGTACTGTTTTTTTATTCCATTTTTTTGTCTCCCCTTTGACATCAAATAATGCACGTTTGTCAGAATTTTGTACAGAAACTCAGTGAAGCCTGAATGAATTTCATGAGTGGAATCTGTCTCGCACATTTCTGTTTATGACCATCATATTTTCTCAGAAGATGCTGTTTTCCAGTTTGTGGATACAGACATTTAAATTAATTATTCTGTCTTTCAGGTGTCACAGTAAGCACCATGGTGGATTTGCACAAGAGAATCTATGGTGGTCAAGACTGTCAAAATGAGGGTCACTATCACGTGAAAGTTATTTCACAAAAGGATGGAATAGAGGGTTACTGTGGCGGCTCACTGATCCATCCACAGTGGGTTTTGACTGCAGCTCACTGCCAAAAGAGTGGATGGTGAGAAAATTATAGTTTCACATAAAAACATTAAAAATTAATTTAAAGATTGGCTTGCAATATGTCTTAAAATACTGAAATAAAAATAATTGCCAATATTTTTTCATAGCAATAATATGATAATAACAACACTGCTCATTCTTATTTTTAGCAAGCACAGTCGCTATTTCAGTCACTATTTCTCTTGTGCAGGAAACTGAGCGCGATTGTTGGAGTCCATCCAGATCCAGGACAAGTCCAGAAAGTGGCAAAGAAAACGATCTTTAAGACGAGCATCTGGAAGACAAATATCTTAAATATCTTTAATAGAAAGAATGACATCATGCTACTGAAACTCTCTGAGGCACAGAATGGGAGTGTAGCCTTACCTGACTGTAGCAACCCTCCTCATATGTGAGTTATCATGAAATTAATAAGTTTGAAATATTCATTCTTGAGATGCTGATATGAGATGCTTCAGGTTCTTATGTTATTGTTTTAATTTATTTTATATCTAATGATTACCTGTGCCAGATGACTGTTTTTTCTGTATGTTTTTTTAAAATTAAATGTTATATCATAGCTGACTCTTTAACTTTGTATTGCAGTAGTCAGAATATCACATACTGTTTTTAGCTAAATCACACAGCTTCAATAACATTTCTGTATTTTTAGCATATTATTATGATGTACTGGGTTGGCAGCCTTTTCAGAATTTAGTCTCCCTCTCCTGGGCGACTGGCTTCAGAGTGGTGGACAGTGAAGCAAGGTTAATCTGTTAGTGATGCACGCTGAGCCTAATTTCTTTTCAGTGTTTCAGGTGGCTCTCTTGTTACCTGGTAAGATCACCATGGAAATATGCTCCTGTTGAGATTATGTTCAGAGTTTTGGTTTAAAATGAACACGAAGCATCACATTTGAATTAGTCATTCAATTTATAGTATGCTTTAAGCATGACATAGATTGTCTGCTGAATTAATACGTTTTATGTAAGCAACTTGTTAAGACATACATTACTAACACCATCCGTTTAGGAGCAAACAGGTTTGGCTTGAATCTGCTCCTCAGTCTGCTTCACACTGCTGGAAATGCAGCTAATAGAACACAGATTAGAAAATGTATCAGTAACATTTGTAAACTATTTATCAGCTGCTCAATCTATAAATTCCAGTTTGATCTGGAGCCAAAAGAAAGTGACTTCCTGGTCTCCTTTATTAAGCCATGGGTCAAAGTGTTGAACATTAAAGCTATAGAAAGGATGAGAGCCTCTGCAACCACATTTGTACAAAGTAATAAAAAAAGAACAATTTTAACAACATTGGTTTTATTAAAGGGGGTCATTATTCAGTTTGTGCAGCTAGTTTTAAAAGTTTGAACTTATCTGAAAATGGAAAGGGGGTGGGGTAGGGCTGTTTGATGCTAACAGTTGTTGAGCTCAACTGTATCAGTGTATCATGTAATGAGAAAATGCCTCCCCCTGTTTTGTACACTAGAACAGCGGTCCCCAACCTTTTTTTGCGCCACGGACCGGTTTATGCTCAACAATATTTTCATGGACGCCTTTAAGGTGTCGCGGATAAATACAACAAAATAAAACCAGTACCGGTACCAAC